ATGAGCAAGATGATTTGAGCTTCAAACTTTGGCAACCTTTTTCAGTACACAGCAGAACATTATTACATCCATCATCAAGATGAGTAGACGCTTGGTTAAAATATGTCTTACCTGTTTTATTGGCTGGACCATTTGGGAAATGTGCTCTGTGTGTGTGTGTGCGCATCCCACGTCTATCTGTAGCATGGAGAAGATGGATTCATAACTACACAGAAATGCAGGCAGAAGGGAGCTTTGAAGGGTAAGTTTGCGTGCTGTGACTTGTGTGGGAGGAGGAGAGTTCATCTAATATACAAGAGCTCCTCCTGCTCTGAGCTGGTCAAGCAGGGATGGGTGAAGTGAGGACAGGATGATTTCAGTCTGACTTCTGCTGTCTGTTGTTTTCAAAACCCTTCACACATATGCAGCTTTTTGATCTTCATTGCATTCAAGTGTCAATGCCTGTGCAGGTGGCAGGAAAGATTAAATTTAGATATTTCTAGATAGTCTAGATATTTCTATTCAAGTATAATAAAATAGAGTATTAAATGGGAAGCAGCTGTAAATATGGGGTTGTTTTTTAGCATGAGAGCAGGTGACCTTTACTGATAGCTGCAGTGGGAAAGCTCTTATTGGGACAGAAAAATTGACAACAGAATGAAGGGCATGGACCTTGTAACTGGCTTTTCTCATCCTTACTGCACTGCTTGCTTGGGTTTCCTTGGCACTAATAATTCAGTCTCAGATCAGGCAAACAGATCAGTTGGCATACTTGAGCCGCACACACATTTCAAATCTGTTTGGATAGGAGAAGATCCCGGGCAGCCTATAAAATGTAAATGTGCTGGTAGCTGTTCCTCACCTGCACTGCCTGGGTGTCTGCAGGCACCAGTTTCACTTGAGATGAAGGAGACAGAGAAGGAAGGGGCTTGTTTGTGTGCAGGTTATCAGAGAGCAGCTCCAAATGGGCTGTGACAGCAGAGACATGCGAACAGCAGAAATAATCAGTTGGGTGAACATTTCTGAGATGAGAAGGAACAGAGATATCTACAACACCTTAACGTTTGCCTGAGAGGCAGCCCATATCTGTTCCAGTTAATATCTGATTCCAGACCTCCTGTCCTCACCCTTTCACAATCTCTGTGCTGTTACTGCCGCTGGCCTCGCTTGAGCCCACACATCTCAGCGGTGCCACTCGGTGACTTCTGAAAAAATGCATGGCCAGCTCTCTCTGGGAGGCAATTTTTTTGACATCCTGCTTGAAACTACTCTGCCACAGCTTTCTGATGAGGAAAGCTATTTAAAAATGAGGGAGAAAGCTTCAACCTTCCACTTTCATGCGTGAGAGCCGTACAGTCCTTCAGCTCCACTTGGCACATGGTGCAGAGTGGGATAAGAATGTGTGCTGTAATTTTTAATGGAATATCTATTTAAAGAAGAGGCAACTTTAGAAGCTCTTCAACCCCATCTTCATTTAAAAAAAACCAAACAAAAAACCCAAACTCCATCACTACTTATTCTTTGTAGTATCCTAGGCCCACATTTTATCAAGGCCAGTGGGGCATCTCATGTGTGTGCTCGTGGTTCCTCAAGCAGTTTAGTCTGGGCTTGGGTGATTCTTATCTTCCTGATTTCCTCCTTCATCTCCCTTTAGCATGTCTAACTGAGCTGTGCAAGGCTTGGGGCATGAACAGATCTATGTGCTCATGAAAGTGTGTGGTTTTTTGGAATTGCTTGTGAAGAGAAGACTTAGAAGTATTTCTGAGAGTTTTCTCGCACAGTTGCTATGCAGCTTGAATTGAGTGTCTGCACAGATTTTAAATTGTTTTCTAAATTAAGAGCTCCCTCTCTTCTTGTGCTACTATGTGCACCTGTGCATTTCTGCAAGCTTCTTGTAGTAAAGACAGACTAGTTCCTCATATAACTTCCAGGGCTTCTTATGTTTGTGTAGATGCTTGAAATTATATTGGTCCCAGTCCTGAAGTCCTTTTCAGTTCATGATCAGTGGTTTTCTTTTTTTTTTTAACTTTAAAATTAGTATTATGATTAATATTATTAGTGATAAGTAGTATTGCTGCAGGGCATAGTTGTTATTGGAAGCACAGCATCCGTTTGGCTGAGAACACTGGCATTAAAAAGCCAAACCAAACAAAAAATGCAGGGACCCAATAGTTCTGGATGTCCCATGATTGCACTTGACCTCAACTACTAGAACATTTTGTGAGTGACACTCAGAGGTGTCTGCTTCCTTTCCAAATTGCAAGTGAGTTTGTATGTGGCATGAGGAAATCAGAGCTGGAGATTGTACAGATGTTGGTGTCAGACAGCAAATATGCACCAGGCTTAACTGGAGTTGTGTCTGGGCAGTTCATTACAGTGTTCCTGGCAAAGGCTGTAAAACTGTTGGTAGGGGCAGACAGCAACACCCAATTATTTGATCTCTTACACCCACAGTCCTCAGTGGAGCTGATCTCATTTCAGTGTTTTCTTTGGCTTTATGGCTTTTTAACTCTTCTTAGAGCAACATTGCATCTCTCCTTTCCTCTAAACTCTTAAAAGTGGCAAGGACATCCCTTGCTGCTGGGTGGCAATTATGGTTTAGTGGTTTAACGAGCTGAAACACAGCCGAGATATGACTTGAAAGGAAAATAAATAAATCAAACCAAACAAACTAAAAAGGCAAAAAATGACTTTAGCATGCTGAAAAACTCAGCCCCTTCAGGCACTGCATGTGTAGCTTTGTAAGAGAGGAGGTGTCCTCAGTCACTGCAGGTGGGATGGAGTGAAAGGTAATGTGCCCCGAGGGTTTTCAAATACTTTGTCCGGGCAGGATCTTGATTTCTTATCTGTTTTTATGGGAAGGGTTTTTGCTGTGATGCTCTCAAGGGATATCTCAGGAGCTTTCTGAAGCAATCTGCTAGCTGAGAACTGCTTTTCTGTACAGGAAGATGCAAGTTTCTGTGTCCACTGTTCATCACTTGCTGAATTAAGAAGTAAATTAGGTTAAGCTACCAGGTTAAGCCTGCTAGGAAGAAAAAGAGGTGCCTTTTTGGCATGGTGTGTTATGAAGCATCCCAGTCTCTTGCCATGTGGTAGTTCCCTGCTGTTTGTTCTTCCTCTTGCCTCCTCCTGCCTGCTGTGGAACACATCTGCAAGCCTTGCTGGATCCCAGCCCCTTGCTTTCATTTGTGACTCATCTGGCCATGCCTCAGCTTCTGTTTGTTTGGCAGCTCTCTGTGCGTGATTTTGTGATGAAAAGTCAAATGAGCACTGCCTCCCTGAGAGCTTTGTGTAGTTGCAGACAAATGAGGTTGCAGGGAAAAGAAATTCCTCATCTCCTCCCTTCAATGTAAATAGTGCAGCATGTGGGAAACAGATGAGGGGCCTTTCTGTGAGAGGGCCAAGGATGATACTTTTTTACTTTATTGCAGTGTTTGCTGGCTTTGCTCTTTACCTTGTTCTGGGGAAGATCCTTCTGCTCGTAGCTCGTTGCCCTCTTCCTTTAACACGAAGAAAGGGAAAGGCCAGGAAGACTTTCAGCAATTACTCTGATTGCTGGATGCTTCCCTTGAGCCTGTTGTTTACAGGCAAGAAGCTGGTCTGGGATGCAATTTGCTTGTCACAACTACTCAGCTCTTTCTTTGGATGTTTTCCATTTCAGTCTCCTTTAATGATATCAGTTAGGAAAGGATGTGTAAATGACAGGTACGTTCAAAACACACGCCTTGTTAGTGGATGAGAAGCCAATCTGTGGAAGGGAAGTGTTCCCCATGTCTGGGTAGTGGGGCAGTTTATGGGAGTAGCTCAGGTCCTACTGTGGAGCATCCTCAGCACCCAAGTGATGCCAGTGCTGCTGGAAAGAGGTCACTACTGCTCTACCACGCACAGCCTGGGCATGGGGTGCAGGTGGGCTCTGTCCAGAGACATCACCACTCCCCCTGGCTGTGTGGTTACCCTCATGCCCATGTGAGGAGCAGGAGGAGTTCACTGTGCTTGTCCCAGCCCCTGCCTTGCCCAGCAGTACCCACGTTGCTGATGCCCAGTGTCACGTGTGTGCAGGGGGAAGTCCTGCCAACAGTCCCTAAGTGGTTTTGCTGATATGTTAAAAGCAGATTTATGTGTTTGCACAAGCTGCAGTGTCTTTTGTTTGTTAAATAACTGGCAAATATAAGCATTGCTATTGCTTTATACTCTACCCCAGAGCTGCTGTGCCTGGGCCTATGGGGCTGGTTAAAGGCAGCTGCAGGCACTGCTGTGCTGCTTCCTGGGCCCATTCAGGTGGTGTTGGTGGAGTGCCAGGGCACCACAGGGAGCTGCCCCTCCCTTCAGAGGGCATCACCACACTTGCACTGGGGAGCCCCAGCCCTGTGTGGTCACTGGGCTCCAGCAGAGTAGATGGGGAAGGTACAGGGGCAGTCCCTCAATCCAGATCCAGGCTATCTGCAGGCTTTTCCAGAAATCACCACGTTGTCTCTACCCAGCGGTACGTTCAAGGTTTTCTTCTGAACTATATAACTTACAATTGTATTGCTTTTCTGCTTTTTGGTGGCAGTTGATGTGGCCATGAGCCTAGGAGCTGGAATTCAAGGGTCTAGTGCATGATTCCTCCACTGAAAAACACCTCTACTTCACCTTCTCTAAGCTTAGGACTTTATACTGGCTGCTTTTTCTGCTGAGTGCACATGGGTTCTTGGAAGAATGCAAGTCATGAAACAAGGGGAGTCCTGTCAGCTGGATGAGCACCATTGTATAATGAGCTCTGTTTTACTTTCCTTCTTTTTCATCTTTATTAGACTATACCTTTTACTAAAGGCTTGAAAACAGGAGGCTTTTTAGAAGTGCATTATTAACTGCCCTTCTGATGGGGCTTCTAACCCTTGCTAACACTTTGTTATGAATGGACTTCCATGAAATTTATAGAGCTGTTGGTAAGCAAATGTTTGTTGAGTGCGTGCTTGTCTTATGTCAGGTAGTAAAAAACCCAGACAAACTCACACTGCTTCCCTCTTTTCTTGTTACAGCAAACCACCCCCATTGATGTCCAGTCCATTGAAGAAATCTTGAGGGTAGGTGCACTTAAATAATAGACCTCTGTGGTTGCTTATATTTTGCCTGCATGAAGGTAATGGGTGTGGAAAAATATCACTTTCCATCTGTTCACTCAACCAATGTTGCCATGGCTAGAAGTGTGTTTGGGGTGTGCTGAGGGGAATTAAAGACAACAGTCAGCCCTGGATACAGCTGGAGCTGTAAAATCAGTCTGTCAGAGTGTGAATGAAAGTGTCACCCCTTCCCTGTGCACGGTGTGAAAATGCCCTGTGATCCACAAGCCAGTGGTGCTGATCCTGAGGAGACACTTCCTTGGTGTCAAATGCTAATCTGAGAGACTGAAGTCCTAGTAGAGGAGTTTGGTTTCTGTGATTCACTTCCCTTGCTGTTGCTTCAGGTCACAAAATCCTGATGCCTTGAATGTTCTCCAGAAGCTGTTGTTGGGGCAGTGTGTGGCTGAAGGGTAGCTGTCAACAGGCACTGGTAACTGCTGTGTGCTGTTTGGGGCTGCAGCATGAGTACTCCACCTGGAAGTTCAACATCCTTCTGTGTTTCACCAGACATTCTATGTTCTGGCCTGTCAGTAATGCAGATTACTATTTTTGTAGCAGCCACAGGGAAGTATGTGCAAATACATGAAGAGGTAGATCTATCTAGTCTAGTAACAATGGTATGGTTGGACTCGATGATCTTTGAGGTCTCTTCCAACCTGGTTGGTTCTATGATCTGAATCTCTGAAGCATGAAATTTCCTCTGTGTCTAACAGCAAAAATCCTGATAGCTGCTTCTCTCAATCTCTTTCCAGGAAATGACCCGCTCATGGCCTCCTCCCCTGACAGCTCTTAATACTCCTACCAAAGCAGAGCCTTCCAAATTTCCATTCCCAGCAAAGGTAAACCAGCCTCTTTTTGCCAGAGCTTTTGATAAAATGGAAGAGACCTTTCCAGCTCTTGCATGTGTTTTCATCTGATTTTGGCCTCCTTTCATAGATAATTGTTAGGAGGAAGAAGTCAGATAAATTAAAGTACAAGGGGGATGAATGAAAAATGCTTGTGACTTACACATTTGTTTTCATTGTGGTCTCTGTGAAAGCTTTGCAGAACCATTTTAAGCATCTCATCTCTGCTGAAGCACAAAATCCATTTTATCGTTATGGTCAACAGAAATATTTGCTGACTGTGTTTAACAGAAGTGTTTGGCAGTTGTTATAAAAAAATGTTAAATATTTCTTCACACCTGCACATACCTTAATGTGCTAAGCAACACCTTTTTGGTGGCAGTAGCAGATACTTTTTCTGTCCATGCTAAGCTATGTTAGGCCAGGTTAAACTATTGGATGCTTCAAAGTCAAACTCTGACAAGCTAGGCAAAATATTTATTATAGTAAGTAACACATGGAAAACAAATCATGGTTATACACTGCTATTAAGAGAGAGTTGATTCATTGTATTCTCAATGTGCACTTCATCCTTTCTTTCTAGGAATTGCAGCCTGATGGATCTGTAGCACAGGATCACAGTAAGTAGAAATCCAAAGAAAACATATAGTTATGTGTGTACTGACAGATAGTGTTGTGTGTTAGACACTGAGAACATGAAATGCTTACATTGATCAAGAAGTGTGATTTCTTCTGCTTTGTTGAACAGTGATGAATTTAGAAATGGCTTAAAAGATTGTATACATTCATTATCTAGAAATTAAGGCAGCAGTTCAGCAGAGGACAAAGCAATATTTTGTTAGGAAACCCCGTTTGGAGTGATGAATAGTCTCCATGGCAAACAATTATGTTCTAGAGGAAAATGACTAGTCTAATCTGGTGCTCAGAGACCATCGGGTAATAAAATACACTACAAGTCAGGCAAATAAACCAATTTGTTCATTTTTGATTTACAGAGCAGCATGGCACAGCTTCAGAAACACTGCCTAGTTCTCAAGCAAGAACATTGTAAGTAACCAAACTCTGTTCCCATCTCTGCTGTGCAATTAGTTAAAAAAACCTGGAATGAACTAAACTTTGGGTCACTTGATGATTCTGAAGATTAAGGTTTTATCAGTCTGATTTTCCTTAGATAATTTCAACACAGGGAATTTTCACCAACAGAAACATTACTGTTTCAGGATGGAATCACAGAATCAGTTAGGTTGGAAATGACCTTTAAGATTACCAAATCCAGCCCTTAACCTAACGCTGCCAAGTCCACTAAACATGTCATGATTATAGTGACTGTGTTGAAACAAGAAAAGAAACCTGAAGGAAAACCCCAACTATTAATCTAACAGATTGAGGTTTTTTGTTCTTTTAATCTGTGTCTGTTTAACATCTTGTCACACTTTGTGCTCTTCAATCTGCAAATAATGCATTGAACTGACAGAAATTATTAGGGATACAAACTGAATTTGATCAATTCTGGATATCATTTTGAAGCCTGGAAGGGCTAGTAAAGCTACAGCTACAAAAGCCAATCACATGGTATAACTTTCTACAAGTGCCCAAGGAAAGGGGGTCTAAAAAGTGTGGGTTTAATTTTATTTTGATTTAAAAAAACACAAACAAAAAAACCCTATCACATGGACTTTCTAAAACCCTCAATTGATGTTCTGATAATGTAGTGGGGTGAAGTTGAAATTTCTGTAGTGCATTTTAATTGTGAGTCTATATATATATAAAATACATGTGTGTGTATATATATGTGTGCATATATATCTATATAATTATGCATAATCACTACGAAAGTTTTCCAAGGCAGCAAGGAGTGTGAACTAATAAATTAATTACTCCGATAGAATATTTTAAGTTGGTGGATAAAATACTTTGGTGCTGCCCTTGCAGGTGATGGTGGTTATCTATTAATTAGGTTAATTACAGAAGTTGCTTGATAGCAGTTTTGTGTGGGCTGCCATTAGTCCTTGAGGACTAACCGGGCCAGGTGGCAGCATTGGTGGGTTCTGAGCCACGGGTAACGAGTGGAAATCTTAACATGTCTGGAAGGCTCAGGGGTCTGTGTGGAAAGCAATTGCTGAACTATTAAATGCCTGTCAGTTCATGTGATAGATAAAGATCTCGTGTTACTCCATGATATGTTATTCCATGTAAGGCTGAAAACTACAGACTACAAAGCTCTACTTGTTTTTCTTTTGCTTATCATGAATCATTTAATTTTAAAAAAACCAAATCAAGGTAGTCACAAGTAAGAGGAAAAGCATCTCTCCATCTTGGTTGAAGTTGTAGAATTTTGCACTCAAACTCTGTAAGATCCGTTCAACATCTCTTTTCCTACTCTTCCAGCATGATGCAGGGGAGCCCTTGTTCACTGGATGTGTGGGATAGTGTCTTGCTGAGCACTCAGTTACTCCCTTAACCTATTCCTTATTTCACTCTTTTCTTCCACCCCAGCTTGCTCCTCCTAAATGACTCATGGAAATTTTAACTGAACTATTAAAAATAGTAGTTTTAACTGCTCCAGGCTCTGCCTTCCTCCTCACCTACCCTATCACCTTCATCATTATTTCAACTCTTCTCAGCTGCTTCTAAAAATCTCTTTAGTGCTTTAGTCATTTTCCAGGCAACAGAGAGAGTCTTTTCCCATAGATGAGAATTGGAAAAACTCTTTTCTTAGCCCAGAGGTCCAGAACTGTAAATTTGGCATGGTATGCAGCTCAGTCCTTAGCTAAGATCCCCTCTCTGCTCAGTGTCCTCACTGGGTACTTCAGAGCTCTTCTGCCAGGGACATGTGTACCCACAGTCAACGAAGGCAGTGGAAGCAGGAGGAACAGGGTGGCTTGAGTTTATGTCCAAACTGGAGCCAAGCAAGATTTGCCTAAGGACTTCCTCTGCATCTCTCCCTGGAAACCACGCATGCCTTGTGTTTTGTGTTTGTTTTCCCTGGCACAACAGAGCTGCCTTGCTCTGCTGTTCAATCCACACGTGACTGTCTGGAAGCTCAGCTGCCTGGAGTAGCTTGTGTTGCAAAGTGTAGCTGGCCGAAAACAAACAGCGTTTGTGCTGGTTAATTAGAAGCTGAAATCCCAGGGCATCTGTGGGCCCAAATTAAGCATTCAGCTTTTCAGAGCATGCAAGGGTTTCCCAGATGGCTTTCATTCCTGAATGCAGTCCTGAAGTTTGCACCTGGCTGTGCTGGAATGGAAGCAGCTCTTCTTTTAAAAGGGGAGATTCCAGCTCATTCTGGGGTTGCATCTTTAGCCTGGCTGGCAGAGAGGGACCAGTCTGTGCTTTCATCGGGGTTGTTTGGCAAGTGATAGTAATTTTAGTGCTGCTTCTCTTGCTAAAAGAGCACTTTTCGAATAGCTTTACAGGGAGATTAATGGTGCGTACATAAGCTGCAAATGAACATGTCCTGCAAATGAAACCTTGGCATCTATTAACTCCTGGGCTAATTAAACATTGAAATTATTAGGGCAGATTTATTTTCTTTAACTAGGCTATTTAACAGTTTGTTGAAACCTTGTTTTGGGGAAACTGGCTTTGAGTATCCTTGCAGAACTATGACTCATTTGAAGTTTTAGTATTCTTGATTCTAAATGGAGCTGAAGGAGTTGCAATGTTCTTTTATGCTGATGCATTTTATTTGCCAGCAGCTCAGGTGGAAAAGGCTGTCCTTTGTATTACAAAGAGTTAAATCAGATTTGAAATAAGATCTAGATAGTTTCTTACTGTGTCCCTGTCCATGGCAGGAGGTTGGAACTAGGTGATATTTAAGGTCCCTTCCAACCCAAAACATTCTATGATTCTATGATTATCCTCTTACCTCTAAAGGAAGCAAATCTGTAGGCCACAATTCTAAAAGCACAACGAAACAAAACAAAAAAAACCAACCAAAAAACCACTTTGGGGACATTTTATCATCTCTGGAATTTTGTTCACTATCCCCTTTGAAGGCTACTTCCCCAAAGGAGTTAGAAAAGAAAATGGAAAGAATTCACTGAGCTGCCAGTAGGCATTGGCCAATGTGCCCCTAAGTGTTGAGTGTGTTTGCATTGTCACTGTTGTTCTTTTTTCCCTTCTGAGACTCATGGGACTGGCAGTGAGCTTTGGCTGGAGCCCACGTGTGGAGTTGGCACGTGCAGGATTGCTGCAGGCTGCATGCCACGTGTCTTCTGTAGGAAACTCAGGGGCCTCATTTTCCCAGGTGGTGTCTCATGGTGCTTACCTTCAGTGTTTGCTCTAAAAGAAGAGCCAAGGGTTGATTTCCAACCAGGTGGTATGCGAGGAAATGAGGCAGTGGAGGATGGCAGACAGAGGAGGATAGTCACATGGGAATGGCGCTCAAAATGCCTGAACAAAGAATGTACCAATTTTCTCCACCTTTTTCCAGGGTGATGTGGTTCACTGGGGATTGTTCATATTTGTTTTCTTGCTATAAAATGTGTTGTCATGAGGGATTGGAGGCTTATTTTACCTATATGGCCCTAAGAAAATTTTCTCAGAGAGCCCTTAACTTGAAACAAGTTTGAAATAGAGTTTTGACCTGCCTGATAAAATTCCTCTCTCAGTTCCCAAGCTTTTCATCCCATTTTTGGAAGGACACTTGAGTAAGCCTCTGGGTTGAGGAGTCAGAGGTCAGCTAGTTTCAAGATTTGAATAACTATACTTCTGAACAGCAAGAGTTTTTCCTGTCTATTTTCCAACTCCTTTGGGATGCCTGCATGATTGCCAAAGAGGGGGATAACAATTTGGAAGAACTTTGGGTCCCTCCCAGCCATTTAAGGTAATAAATTGAAATTGCAAACAGCAGTTCCCACCTGAAAGCAGAGGACTAAATGATGCTTTGGGAAGCATTTGCAGGAAGCGGCTCTCTTCTCAGGCAGTAGTAAAATGGAGCTGCTTCCTCCCCAGCTGTAACTGCTTTGAGTGTCTGAATGTTACAATTCCCACTGAGATGTGCAGGAGCCTGAAGTTCCTTGTGTAGAGAAGAAATAGGAGATAGGCTTGACCTCGGCATTTACTTAGATATGTGTGATAGGAGACTTCAGCAGCAAAATGAGAACCCCCGGGACAGAAGAAATATTGGCAGCCCCTGAGAGCAGAGAGTGTGAACATGCACAGCCCCTGGTGCAAAGATTATGCTTTCTGTCCCTTGGGGAGCCAGTGCAGGCTCAGAGCGTGTGAGTCTCTTACTGTGCAAGAGTCACACTTCTTTCACCCTCAGAACTTAGTCTTTGTTGTCTGTAGATGGCAGCAATTGCTACTGACCTCCAGTGCAAAATATACTGGGGTCAGTTGGAAAGCAGAGTGAAAAGAAAAATAAAATAAGCCATTTTAACCATTCATTCAGATAACAACAGGTAGGTTGAGCATACCAAATATTCAGAATGGATGTGGGAGGTTGGTTTGTTTTGGTAAGCACAAACCAAATCTTCAGTGTGTCTGCCTTGGCTGATATTTATCTTCTGGTTGTCTTTCAGGATGCTCCAGGAAGACCTGCAGCTCAGTGATAGTGAAGAGAGTGGTGACGACCAAGTCAGTTTTAGACATGCCTTTAAATCATCATGACTTATTGCCTTGTTCTGAGTTCCTTGAGCTAACCTTTCCTCCCCCTCCTCCTTGTTTTTGTGAACCAAACAGGTTGTTGAAAAGCCGCGTTCTTCACTCACTCCTCCAAGGTACAGGTTTGTTCCCAAACTACTGGCTAGACCAAATCAGGAGAAAAACACAAGTACTTTTTATATACGGGGTGGATTGATAAGGGTTCCTGGTTTCTCTTGGAGCCACAGGCTTTGGTTTCTGGCTCTGTGGAGAATTGGCTTCAGTTGTGTGTGGTTTTCTGGAAAGAAATGAATAATCCAGAGTTGTATTCCCTCAACCATTCCCTTCTTTCATCCTCCTCCCCTCCACCACTGTGTATGTAGATCACATTGGAGCTAATGTGATTTTCAGTTGTAGCAATGGGTGAGGTGTGAGTCCAGTTTTAGTTCCAAAGAAAGCCCAAAACAGCCACAAGGGTTAGGAACACTCATGGAGGCTATTTCAGCTCCTCCTGCTAAGGCAGCTGATTGTAAGCAGCTCCTGCTGTGGGTTGTTAAACAAGCAATATTCAAGATAGACTGAACAGCCACGTGCCAACATTAGAGGAAGAAAGGTGGAGATGGCCAGAATTTTTCCTCTAGGAGAGCACTGACATACATTTTTGCCTTGATATTTGTTCTTCAAGCACAAGATAATGTACCAAGTCAGACTTGCAAAAGAGCACGTAGATTCTTGGCATGATTTATGTCTTTGCAAGCTCTTGAAATAGACTTGTCATGCTATCAGCAAAGAGCTTTGCATCCAAATCATGCAAATGTGTTGATATTGATGTGAGAAGCCTTTTCCTAAGGAAAAAATAATAAAAATCAGCATTTTAATTTTGTTAGACCATTTCAAAGCAAATAAAAAGCTGTGAATAAAAGTGGGGGCTCTCCCTCAATTCCAGCCACTCCCACTGTCAGTGCTGGAGGAAAACAGTTGATCAGGGGAAGGTGTTGCAAGCAATGCTGCTGCTTGATGTGGCTGTTAATGAAGTGGCTACAGCAACTTGAACAAGTAACACAGATGAAGAATTGAAAACTGAAGTGACACGATAGAAAAAACAGAAACCATCCTGGAGTATGTCTTGGAAATTTTTCACTTTGAGGGCTGGAGCATTCAGAAAAGCACTGTTCAGTTTTGGTGGGTTTTTAAACTTTAATTGGCTAAATGCAGCTTCACATTACAGCAGTGAGTTCCTGCTTACATATTTGCCTGGGTTGGAGTTGAAGGTTTTATTATTTCCAGAGACTTTTTTTTTATTCCAGTTCTTTATTTTTTGAGTATGGCAATGTATTCCCCTGGCCTTCTCCCATCCCTTCTCATTGCCAAAAACATAGGGTTTCAGTTTTATTTTTGAATACTGACATGCCAATATAATAAGTAAATAACCTTCACCCATGCTGCTTTCTAATTTCATCTCATGGTGGCCTTGCAGTGCCCTACAGCCCCAGCCCAAGAGTGTGGCATCAGCACATTCCAGCAGCTCGGAGTCAGGGAGCACCAGTGACTCAGATAGCTCCTCAGACTCGGAGACAGAGAGCCACTCGAGTGACAGCGAAGCCAACGACCCTCCAAGAGTGCCAGCACCTGAGGTGAATGCAGATAACACCTAGAGGCTGCTTCACACAGCCTCTTGCCTCAGACTCTGCTGTCTGAATGCAGCCAGGACAGGAGACCTGAAATCCCCTCATCAAGGTGTCTCCTTGACATCTCTGCTGCACCACCAGACTTTACCCTTCGCTTCCCTTCTAGAGTTTTTCAAATAAATAACCCTTAATAACAGCATGATGAGGCTTTCAGGTGCCTAAGCTGGAAGTGTCCCCCCTTGTGCTTGGGCATTGTTGTCCAGCACTCCTGGAGGAATCAGTGCCTTCGCTGGGGAGGCACAAGCAAGGCACAGAGTAGAAACAGGGCTGGTCTGGGGGTTTTGAGGCTCACCCTTGCCCATGCAGCTTTTCAGGTTGCCAAGGCTATGGGCTGCTTCAGGGTGAGACCCATTTCTTGATGTGTTAAGAGGAGCTGCTGCCCTCCTGCAGCTCCTGTGCCAAAGTGACAGATTCAGCTGAAGGGATCAGACCTGCAGGAAGGGCTGGCATGTGCTTAGTCTTGCTTCTGTTGAATTTGGCTTGGATAGTGCTGCACTGGCATTTCTGAGGCATTTATTGGGGAAAGCAGGCAAACAGAACTTGGTGCCTTAAAATTTCATAATGGAGACCGTGCAAGTGTCAGAAATCTCCTGCACAAGTGCTCATGTCCGTGGTTACAAACAGTTCCTCCAGCTTGCAACACACTGAGGCCAGTGGGGAAGTGCATGGTTATATGTGCAGACCAGAGCTGATGTAAACCAACCCACTGCCAGTTCTGAGGCAGTTACAAAGCTCAGAAACCTTATAATTTATTCCTGCACCCATGCCCCAGCCCAAGCTTTCCTTTCTTTTACTTTAGATGTGCATGAACAGGAAGAATTTCATGTGCAGAAAAGCCTTGAGAAGGCCTGTGTTTTCGCCTCACTCTAATACTCATTCCCCTCCAGCAGTTCATTTGCAGACTTTGCCCACTGCAATGTGGGTGTCTTTGGAAGTAAAGAGATGTTATACTTCTCTTTTCCCAAGTCCTGCCTGGTTTGTCCCTAAAATACTAAACTATAAGACCCTTCTCACACTAGTGAAGGCCTAGCTGTTTGCCATTGACCATTTTATCCTTTTCTCTTCAGGAAATTATTTATCCATAATGCTCTGGAGGAAGTTAGTGCATGTGGCCTGTTTGTTTATAGCCAGTGCTTCACATACAAAAACACCCAACTTTAAGACCTCTAGGCAATAGTCTCTGGGCTCTGGTAAGCTGTGCTAGGATGGACACAGTGCATAAAGGCATCACTCTTGAATCCTTCTTTTCTGTTTTTGTCAGCAGCCTCAGCCACCAACTTCTAATAAGTGGCAGCTCGACAACTGGCTGACCAAGGTGAACCCACCAGCAGTGCCAACAGAGTGTGTCAGTGAAATTGCCCATGGGGATGGATGCAAGAAGGGCAAGAAGCAGGAGCAGGGAATCAGCAGCAATTCTTCCCACCAGCATGCTGAGCTGATGGAGCCTCATCACAAGACCTGTGGCCAAGTGGCCAGGACTCCTCAGGACACTCATCTTCCAAACAAATGCAACTATCAGAAGTCTCCTGTGCATGCTGAGGAGCCCTCGCCTAGGCAGACTGTGGGTATCAAAAGGCCTGGCAAGCCCCTGGTACACGAAGGGTCCAAGAGAGGCCTGAAGGTGGAGAGTGACCCTGGTCCTTTGGAGGTCAGAGATGAGTCTTCCAGGGACAAGCTGAAAGTCAAAAAAATAGCAAAGCCAAAATCCTCTGACAAAAAAGACCTGAAGCCCTCTGAGAACAGAAAGCACAAGGGCTCCCACCATGCCACTGCCAAACCCTTCTTGGACCCTAAACTCATGGGTGATGCCCAAGCACATGATGCTCTCAGTCCTCTTCCTCAAGGCCAGGGCACAACTTCCATCAGGACCAGCAGTCACAGGTTTCAGGATTTGCCCAAGGAGAAACTGCCTTTGGTTCTCAGGGAGAAGTTGCTTTCGCCAGTGAGGGACCCCCCTGCCCGTGAGGGCCTCGTGGTGAAAATAGATCTCTGTCATCTGGAAAAAGTCCCTCACCCCCCCAGGAAAGAGGGACACCAGAAGAAAGCAGAGACCAAGGACCAACCTGGTGCAAAGAAGCAGAGCTCAAAGAGGAAGGCCAAGGACACTCCTGAGGAGTCCCTTCGAAAGAGGAAGGTGAGAAGTGGATTTGTACAAGGACCAGGGTGGTGTTTAAAAAACCCATGCAGAGTTTCCATGTCATAGGAGTAGAGCCATTATGCACCTCCTATAAAGATGTTATCAGACTTCTGAGGGGAATATGAATCAAAACTGTCCAACAGCTGTTTCTCGTTGGTCACAAATCCCCTCCTGAGCAAATGAAAAGCCCTGTAAGCTGTCTAACATGCTTTGGGCTTTTAAAATATTTTTTGCTATCTGTTCTTGAAATCCTAGTTTTCTCAGACAACAAAACCCCAGTCCTCCTCTGCTGGAGGAGCTTTCAGTAGGCTGTGTCAGCATGTGGCTGGCAGCTCTTTGGCAGCATTGGTGGATTTCTCTGGCTTTATAGGGCAGCAGTGCCCCCTCCCCATGCCACCCTGTGAAAAGCAGTGTGGCTCCTGAAGCATGTTCCAGTCTGTGCAGACACCTGCACTATCCATTGTGGGAGAGCACCTGGCCTGCAGTTTGTAGGGTGACCAGAGGGAGAAGTGACCCAGGACACCTCAGGCTGTAGTTTTCAGTTTTGCCCATGGATGCACCTTTTGCTGCCTTGAGTCATACAACTTCAGTCTGAGTCTTTTCCTGTGTGGTGCCATTTATTTCCATGAAACAGCTGTGATTGCTTGCAGGAGAGCTGAATTCTGCAGGTGGGAACTGTGTTATTGCTAGGGGTGACAGCAGCAGCACAGTGCCTTTTGCTTTTCTGAAAATGCAGACTTTGAACTGAACTGAGTTCACTGATAGTCACAACCCTCTCAAAACCCTCCTCTGGACCTCAGTGCTTTACTTAACTAAGGTGATCACTGCTTACAAGTGGTTTTTGGAAAGCTGATTCCCAAAGGGGACTACGAATATACCTCCAGCCAACTGGGTCAGCTGCACAAAGAGTTGGCTGCAGACCTTGTGCTGAATGTGTATTCCCTGTGGATATTTCAGTGATTTTTGCTCCACCTCACAGAGCTAGTGGCTCAGCACCTTGGGTCAATAACCTTGGGGTGGGTGAATGACCTTGTTCTGGACAAATGACCTTGGTTCCTGTGTGGGTTTCATTTAGTTTTGTCATTTTCTGAACTTCTCAATTCTCCCTCAACTACAGGAAGGGAAATGGAAAAGAAATTTGAGAGACCCCAGCAGTTCCCCCTCTTGCAGAGCAGCAGGAGAAAGGGAAACAGGCAGTCAATCTGTCTCTTCTCCTCTTGTCTAAAAGACCTGGGAGAGGAGCTATTTGATGTTAGGCATGCCTTCCCTTTAATTCTCAGTGCCTGACTGCAGGAGAGCCCACCTCAGAGCCTCGCTCGATTCTGTCAGTGTGCATCAGTGTCCCTGGAGGCTCAGGCACCACGGCAGCTGGGTCAGGTGCAGCTGTCAGACATCTTTTGTGGCAGTGTGGAGATCAACCTGAAAAACAGTTTAAGGACACGATCTCAGTGCTGGAGCCTTGTCCTGAGCACACTGCCAGAGCTAGACTCTGTTGAGTACAACCCACTGAGCTCCATCATAGTGACAAACCTGGATGTGTCCCAGACATGAGTAGAGACTGGGAGAACACATGGAGAGCAGTCCTGCAGAGAAGGGCTTGGGGGTTTCAGTGGAGGAAAAGCTGGACATGACTCAGCAGTGTGTCCTTGCAGCCCAGAAAGCCAACCACACCCTGGGCTGCATCAAAAGATGCATGATCAGTAGACTGAGGGAGGTATTCTGCCCCTCTGTGACCCCACTTGGAATATTGTGTCCACCTCTGGGGCCTCCAGATTTTAATTGACTGTTTCAAATTGCACCTTTTATTGTTAATAAAAAGCAAACCCCCCTGCACACCTGGGGGACCTGTGTAAACTAACTGCCATGCAGGTGCCTTACTTTTGATCATTATTAGCAGAAAAATGTTTGGCAGAACCATCCCTGCCACTACAAACAATTACTCTATCCAAGCAAAAGTAGAAAAATGTCTTTTTAGGTTACTTGTCAGTGAGCCTGAAATCTATATCTGCTGTGCTGTGGGTTTCCACTTTGTCAGTTCTAATATCTTTTTGCTTTAACCAGAATAAATCAAACTTAGCTGTACTGGTCTGTACTTTGTGACCTTTCAAAACCTGACTGATTTTTTTCCCTTTTTTTTCTTCCTGCTAGAGGGAAGAGAAGGAAGAGACTGATAGGAAGAAAATTAAATCAGAAAAAGAAGCAAAATCCTTGCAGTCTTCAGCTCACAAAGACTCCAATAAATTAAAGTAAGTATAAAGTGTTTGGATAGCAAAAAGATGCATAAAACTAAGTCTTTCTTTAAAAGCTTAAGGCAAGGAACTGTATCTCCTGTTCTTACACTGAGAATTTGCTTCTAACATCATGTGCCTCCTGAAACTTAATCTGCTGCAGATTTGCCTTTACATCTTGGAAGCAATCAGTCCAGAAGCAGCTTGATGGGTGTAGGTGGGTAAGGATGGGGAGCATTTCCCTTCTCCACTAAAATCATCTTTTTGTCTTTGTCTTTTTATTCTCTGTAACCCAAGAGACACACAACCAGCAGTGCCTTTTGGGACCTGACTGCCTGGAATTTCAGATGGCCTTTACAGCCAGAAATTTCTCATTTATCCTTGTGTAGCCTTTGCAGTGTTTCTGGTAGTTTGCCCTGTAATTTGCACACCAGGGCAGTGCCAGCATTTTGGCTAGGTCTTTGCTTGAGGGAATGCTGCCAAGAGCATGTCTCCAACTGGGCAGTGTTCCTGAGAGGGGAGACTCATGCATCAGTCATGGGCTGCTGCATTCAATTCCTGCTTGCTTGTGGCTTGAATTTGAGATGTTGGCTTGGATTGGTGTGTAGCATTGAGGCTGTGTCCTGACAACAGGAGTAAACTGCTTTTCTGCAGAGAAAATATTGATGTACTCTGAAAGCACTGAAGCATCGGAACTGACATTTAGTGGGGTGAAGGGATATTCCAACTGCAGGAGTAATGGAAGAAGTTTAATTCTGGGGTTCATTCCTCCCTTTTTCTCAGCAAAAATGAGCACCTGTTTTAGTCATGTTCTGGTGTTCAGAGTGGGAAAGATAGGATGCATTTTTGGGGAGAGAAGGCTCTGGATCAGGTCAGGGATGGTGCTGTGCTCTGTGGAGCATGAGCTGTGCCAGGGAGGAGAAGCTGGGGTACACGTGTGCAGTGAGTAGGGACTGTACCATGTGAAAAGTGTGTTGGGAAGGAAGGGATAGGACTGTCCCATGCACAGCAGAATCAGGTGAGATGTGCAGCATCCCACCTCAGTCTTCTCATGGGGTTGAACTTAATTTCCTCCTCCCCTGATGTTGCAGTCCATGAGCTGCTCAGTGTGTTCTGGGAAACTTGGAGAAGCTGAATAAAAATGATGTCAATGAGCAGTGGTGAAACAAGGTTTAGAGCTATTTGGTGCTGCTTAGAGCTGCCAGAGTTCAGATGATCTGAAATCAGATATGTCACTGTGTTATTACCTGTGAGACACTCTGCCATTTAAAAGCACAGCATTTTAAGTCTCTCTCACTTGAATCCTCTCAGCTTTGTAAGAGTTGCCCAGTCACGCTGGCAAGTCTTAAAGGAAGAACTCAGATTAATTCTGTCAAAGCACATGCAATATCAAGTGTCAGGAGGGTGTCTCTGACCACAGGAAGGTACTGTGTACCATAAGTGGAAGAGAGAGGCAGTGCTGCAGTTCAATTGCCTTGTTGGGTGGTTTGTCCCAGGGGTTTTAGTCACTGTAGTTATCCCCTCATTCAGGGAAAACAGGCTATGTTGGAGGGATGTCTTTTTTGCAACATCTTGATATTCTGGTTGCAAGTGTTGACTGCAAGAACAGAGTTCTGAGACTTACTCCTGCTTGAAAAACAACTCGTTTGTATGTTGTTGGCAGATGGTGATGTGGTATCTAATGCACAAGTCCTCTCACAGTTCCAGAGGAATTGAAACAGAATTGGTGCAGGATGTCCCTGAGTTGTTATAAAATCCCTGCATTATATGTACACCATATTCATGAATCTGCTTCCCATCTCCAGAGCATCAAAAGCTTCATCTGAAAATCAGAAGAAAGATGTGCTGCTCCTGCCACTGCCACCCATGTCCACTGCACATCCCACACCAAAGTCAACCAAAACAGCCCAAAAGAGACCCAGAACTGAGGCTGATGAGCAGCCTGCCATGGATAACCCTGCCAGGAACAAGAGCAACCACAAGGATCCTTCGTCTGCCAAGCACAGGAAAGTGGAGGGAAATCACATGGAACACTCAAAGGGCATCAAAGTAGGTATCCGAGAAAACTGGCAGGATGTTTGCTGCAACTCGTGGGTGCTGTGTGATTGTCCTTTGAAACAGACTCTGAGGATATTAAAAAGAAAGGAAGATAAATCAGCCAGCAGAGAAAGCTCTTGGAAGCATTTGTGGCCCTTTAATGGTTATCTGTGGCTGTATGTTGCTAACCCAAAAGACTGTGTTGTAACTTCTCTGCAACTTTCCATCATCTGTTTTTCATCTCACCAGCAAAATAGAGTGAGAAGGGTTTACTATGTAAACACCAAAGGACATGAGAAATAAGTATATGCTAGTCACCATTTCTGATTGTAGGCAACTGCAAATACAATATTGGTGGAAAAATAAGTGTGTTTACGAAAAGGAAGAGTGGACTGCTTGAAAACCAGAAAAAAGTAACCTGTGTTACTGATTGCAGTCCAGATATAAGGTTTTATAGCTTGTTTACAAAATTTTTCCTGATCCTTGCAGCTGGATCTGTGCACTTCTGTGTTCTAAAGTTCAATTACATGGCTGGTTACTGGTGGCTCAGTGTGTGTGGTCTGTTAAGCAGGACTGTGCAGGCTGTATTAGCTGGCTTGTAACTGCTTTTTCCTGATCATGGAGTCAGGAATGGAGAATCAGCATTTTTTGTGTGGATAAGCTGGAAATAAGTGTGAATGGATATTACCTGTTCCTGCCTTGACTAGTGGCTGTGACAAATGAGCAGCTTGGAGCCTCACTGCCCTCTTAGCCATTGTGCAAGGAAACTGCTGCTTAATTTCTGCAGGCTTGGGAAAGGTTTCATGGTACTAAGCCATACAAGCAATTGGGTGAGAAGCCAAGTCTCCATTTTCATTCTTGGAGGGGTGGCTGGGGAAGAAGCTAAGAGGAGGAGAGCCTGGAGAATTAGACTATGGCATCTTCTCTTGAAATTGAGGAAAGCCAGGCCTTGGAATTGGTTTAGGTGTATCTCTAACCAGCTGTATCTCTGTGGTTTTCTCAGGGATCTGCAGGGGATGTGACAAAGCCTTTCCCAGTGCCTTCTTTGCCAAATGGTACCTCCAAACCAAGCAGACCTCTCCTCCAGTGTGAACAGTAAGTGTTTGTTTTACACCCCTGGTCTGTACTTTCTGAAGACACAAGGCAAGGCTGGCCCTGCAGCCACCCTACCTTCTGCTTCTTCATCAGCACTTCTTCGGGAGGGAAAGAAAGAGGGAGAGATGTGGCAGAATTGTCTTGTACTGCCTTCTGCTGAGTGGGACTTAACCCACCCACCACAAAGCACAGGTCACCTTCCAACAGCCCTTGGTTCGTGGGAAGCTGCTCTGGAAATTGGGTACCATCTCTCTTGTGAGCAGACACCTGGAATGCAAGCTCCTCTTGTCTCAGAGGAGTGTATGGTGCTGCCAAGTTCTGCTTCAATCAAAATGTAATGATAAGATTGGACTTGAGGAATGAGAGATGACATAACTACCACCTTTCCATGGGAGTGAGAAAGTAAACTTGCTTTGGTTTAGCATAACCTCTGGTGTTTTTTTTATTTCTAGATGTAAGCTTTCAGTATTATTCTAATTTTTTTTTTTTTAAGAAATCAATTAATTTTCTCTGTGCATTCTGCTGCTCAGTGTTTCTGAACATGCAGAGAACATTCATTTAGTAACTACTAATAATCAGAATGTGTGTTTGATAAGGCTGTAAGAGGCTTACCAAAACAGGATGTTTGCACTCATAGCATCATCTAAATACAAAAATAAAATGGATAATTATCCCTAATTTTTTCTCTTTTTCCTCTCTGTCCAATTCAGACAGCAGTCCAAGGAATACTACTTAGAACAGGCCCAGAGGCTGAAGCACAAAGCTGATGCCATGGTAAGTTTTGGCCCTGTGCTAGAAATGTTAACCAGCTCTTGCCCTCAGAATAAGATTCACTGGCAAACATGACTTCCCTCCTCCATCCCTGGGGTATGTTCAAGTCATACCTTGGGAAGCTGTCTTTATTTACCAAATGTTCAGACATTTCCCTTGGATGTAAACACATCTAGAGAATGGGATTCAGAACTGACATTGTCTGAGGTTACCAAGCCTGTTTGCTTTGCAGAGCTATAAAAGATCCCTTGGAAGACAGATTGAACAGTTAGTTTTAAGACAGTTCACTCAGAGATGTCAGATCCTGACAGTCATTGCATTGAACAAGACTTGGAAGTGGCCTTGTCTGATCTAACTGGCTTTCCCTGCTCTGTGCAGTTTAACAGCATGCACAAGTGAACATATTGTTCTGCTAATTATGGCTCACTCAGATAATGTCCATTTCTTACTTGACATTTACCTGTGAAAATGAAGTGAGCAAATACCACAGTGGGAAAGCCACCTCTGTCTGCCTCTCAGAAGGCAAACCTCCCAGAGCAGACAATAATTTCCAAAAAAAAGTGAAGATAAATTGCTTGAAGAAACCCTTGAGCAAGAGGAAGATCCAAATAGCCAGAGCACACAAAGCTGATGACTGGGATCATATTAGGGGTTCTGCTGAGATCCCTTTAGCTATCACCCAGAGGCCTGACTGGAATCTTTTTTTTCTTTCTTCAAATCCTGCCTAACAAGAGAGAAAAAAAGAATTCATTTACATTTGAGAGAAGTGGGTTTGATCTTAGTCTGAAAAAGAGAATTTTTTTCCCAACAGACTGACAAGACTGAAAAGGCCCTTCAATATCTAGAAGCTGCCCTGTTATTCATCAAATATGGGATAGCCTTGGAATCAGATGTGCTGGAACCAAAATCAGCTTACAACATATTCAGTGACACTATAGTTCTCATCAAGTAAGTGGCTGTCAAAGCCTGATGATTTATTTGGCAGTGTGTATGGAGGGGAAGGGTTAGTTGCACTGCTTGTTTGCAGCTGTGACTGCTCTGGATCCCCAGCATGGAGCAGAGCTGGGGTTGCTGGGCAAGCCTGAAGCAGACAGACCATCCAGAGCTCCCCAAGACAAATCTATTGAAATGTTTCAGCCTTGTTTATCAGCAGAAAGCACCATGTTCCCCTCAGCATTTGAGCCTGGCAGCTGAGGGACACCAGAGGACACTGGTTATAACAATCGAGAACATGAAGGAGTTTCTCCTTTAGCCACATCTGAATTTGCTTTTGCATGTGAGCTCAGCAGTATTTCATATGAGAAAACCAAAGCACCAGTATAGGCTTTGGAAGAACAGTTTGTGCCCCAAAGTTGCTGTAGCTTGGCTGAAGGCAGATTGTGCTGGTTTCTCTGGGTCTGCAGGTGGCCCGTGGGGACATCTCCGTGTAGG